TGTGTGTGTGTGTGTGTGTGTGTGTGTGTGTGTGTGTGTGTGTGTGTTTCTGAAGCTCAAACTAGTTCTACATCAGGAAGAATGCCATCAAGCTGAAGGGAATTAACATGAGAACTGACTACATTGCCCTTTTGTAAACATCTGGCCGACACAAACCCTCAAACATCCAGAGAGCCGCCTCGTTTCTACAATCAATTCTTCATGCATGCAGCGCCCTCTGCTGGCAGCCGGCAGGAGGGACACGTCCAGATGTGTCAGCAGTCATAGACTACCAAAGTGTTTTAGAGAAGTATACAGTGGTGGAATGTAAGTACATTTACTCAGCTACTGGAGTACATTTTTGAGGTATTAGGAACTTATAGTTACTAAAGTTAAATGCTGCTTTAACAGTGAAGCATCAATATTAACATCAGTCACGGGACAGTTTTCTGCAAAACGAGTGTTTTTATTTTTAGTACATTTAGCTGATAATACTTATGTATGTTGACATATTTAGGGCTTTAAATGCAGGATTTTTACTTGTAATTGATTATTTTTACTTTGCAGTATTCAGCTTTTACTTGAGCAGAGCAGCTGAGTAGCATAAGGTCGTACATATTTCTTCGGTTTTATTTTAGTGCAGAAATAATCGTCTTTACAAATCAACTGGTCAAATGCACACATGCATATCCACTTTATTTCCTTGTTCCTCTTTCATTTATTCAGGCTATAAGGTTTATCTATCTTACTTTTATGTTTGAGAAAATGTTAAAGATGTTCAGTAACTCGTAAAAGAAACACTTTTTTGTTCCTTCACCTCCTTCATAGACATTGTACCGGTAGTACCAGTCATCTTTGTACTGGACTGACCCTGAAGCCCACATGGACCAGTAACCTCAGGCCATATCAGACATGTGGCGCCGTGACTTGTTCGTCCATGTAGATTTCACAGAATGGTCCTGATAGCAGCAGGTCCACCTCATACGACATCCTGCCTGTATTTTCATGTCCTCCGGGACTCGGTTCATTATTCTGCTGGCCGGTAATGACAAAATAAACACACCACCATGGATCAGTCCACAACGTAAACACAGCTAATATGCACAGCTACTGCTGACGTGAGCACATCTAAATGATATGAACTTGCATTAGTGTCAATGTAAAGGTACTTACAGGTGACCTGGTACTGTTCATTTATCTGGTACTTTTACCAAGTTTCTAGGTGTTTTGTTTATGTGTAATATTTAAAAGAAATATATAAGATATCATAGTTTATGTCACTGAACTGACAGAGCGACTTGTTTTATTTGCAGCTACTTTAATAATGTTACATTGTAAAACCTTCAGTGACTTGTATTTGACTTTGGTGACTTGTGTTTGACCGCAGTGACTTGTATTTGACTTCAGTGACTTGTGTTTGACCGCAGTGACTTGTACATTAACTCGACATAACCTCATTCAATCATATTTCTTCTCAGGGACTTGGAGAATGCCGCCTTAACTTGTATTTGATCTTGATGACTTGGACGTATCCCCAGTGGCTACACGACCTCTGTGACTTGGAGATTGACTTGCGTTTGACCTCACTGGTTTCGACATTTCTTCATTGGCTTGTATTTCAACCTTAGAGACTTTGACATTAACTCAGTGACCTGGACATTAACTCAAGATGATGTCAACATATCATATCAACATATAAAGGAAGTTGAAGTTCAACACGAACATTAAAAATCAACACATCTGGAGATACATGGTTTTCACTGAACATGTGCAAAATAATTAAGGTTGACAGACAAATGTTATGTTTGTGGAGTAAGAAGGACAACATTTTCCATTGAGATGGAGTAAAGTTAAAGTATTAACTTACATAAAATCGAAATACTCAATAAAGTACCTCAAATTTGACATTACAGTAAAATTACAGTACATTATAGTAAATGTTACCACTGCTCTTATGTTATAGTTAACAGAATATTTTGAGGTTTCGGTCTGTTTGCCAGACAAAACAACCTATTTGAGTACATAAGATTATATGTAGCTTCTTTGAGGATTAGCTATGTTTATCAGATTAATGGATAATGAAAGTAATCATTAGAAGTGGTTGCATTCCCCTGACGCTCCAGTAGTTCTGTGCTCCGACTGAGCTAAATAAATATAAATATATTAAAGAGGAATCTGAGCTTTTGATCTGTGACACTGTCCCATCTCAGCACCAGCCAGCCCAGTGACCGGGCTTCTCATAACACAGTTACCACAGTCCTCAGCTGTCCTAATGTCACCCTGAATCATGCATGTTTGGAGTTGGAGCAGCCATAACATCCCGTCCCCCTGCAGTGACGTCACTGACTCCTACATTCCAAACTCCCATGCTTTTTATTTATTTATTTATTTTTTGCAGTATTATAGCCTCCATCAGTACTATTCATTTACACCATGTGATCACACATGGAAAGCTTTAGCAGTCCGGTCAGCGGCTATTTACGTCCTCAAAATCGTATTAACGGACTAGACTGACAGCAGCAGTGTGTGTGTGCGTGTGTGTGTGCGTGTGTGTGTAGGTGGAGGGTGGTGGTGTGAGTGAGTCCCGAGGCAACCGAGGCACAAGGAGCCGTAAAAGTTAAACTGCAGCGGGGTTTAGGGTTGCCTCTGGTGCCGTTGCCAGTCGCACCTGCCTGCCTGTCTGCCTATCTCCGCGGGTGTCTACCTGTCTCTCCCCCATCTCTCTCTCTCTCTCTCTCTCTCTCTCTCTCCCTCTCTATCTGTCTTTCTCTCGGTACCGAGCCGGGTCGAGCCGCCATTTCTTCTTCAGAGGACAGTCAGTTGTCAGTGAACGACGACAAAACACACCGGCGAGAACCATGTTGACTCTGCTGACTTCCATGTATCTGATGGTGCAGGCGGTGTCCTCGCAGGTGAGTTTTAAAAGCAGCCTTTTGACAGTCGGGCCGCTGCGGGGACGGAGCTGACTGTGCGTCCCTGAACGCACCATTAAAGACACATTCTGGAGCTAAACTTGACCGTTACAAACCGGTCAGTTAAAACACGTCTGCGTTAGTTATAACGTTAAGCGTATTACATCATCGTTTATTTGAACAGATGGGGGGACTTAACGAGGAGACACACCCGGTGTTTCTGTACTGTCCGTTTGGACGTCAGGTGTGGCAATGGCCGCCGGAAACTCAACACCTTTCGTGAAGGTGAAGGAACCCGGTAGGTTGCGTCGTCATTAATTCGGAGTGAGTCGTCTTCACTTGGCAGCGTTGGCAAAGTGCCACAGTGAAGCGCGTCAGAGTAAATAACGGGACATCCGGCCATGGCCTTCAAAATAAAAGTCCAATTTCTTCACAGAGTGAATTTATAAATGCGGCAGCATGAATGAAACAAGTGATGAAACTGAGAACTTGAAATGCAAAATACCTGCAATTAAGTAATAAAGAAATACTGGTCCATTAATCCCAGGAAAGGGAAATATTCTTAAAATGTTAGGAGTGATAAAAGTACTGATGGCAAGTAAAATAATAACTTTTATAGTCAAAATTATGAGGAAAAAAATAGCTAACTTACTGCAGAAAGTCCGAAACACTACAAAAAACAATGTAATATCGTTTTTCTTTAATATAACTTTTTTTTATAAATATAGATGAAGGATAAAAGTGTACCGGGGTTATTTCATTCACAGTAAGGAAATCAACTGCTTAACACGTTTGTAATGTAAGTGTAGGATTGTGTATGAAATTAAAATGTTATTATCTGGTTTGTCCAGAAAACACCACAATGAAACCCAGAATAGTTTTTAAGGTTACATTTAAAATGCGATGGTTGGATCAATGTCCTGTTCATTTTACCACGAGAAAGCAGCTATTTTATTCAGCAGACATGTTCCCTGTCTTGTGCAGTTTCACTCTTTTAAAATTACTTCAAAGTTATATCTTAATGTTTCAAATAATGTTGTAGTGGTGGAACTAGAAAAAAGTTAACGTAAATCATTCCAGAGGAGTACATTTACAGAAATAGAATACCACTTTTTTATGGACAAATGGAGACAAGATTAGATGAGATAAAGTAGATATGATTTATCTATCCAGAACAAAATTGCTGTCTCAAAGATTGCTAAAGAAATGCAAAGAAAACAGTGATTAAAACCATACGAAACAAACCAATATCAATGAGTTGTTTCTCCAAGAAGTTCCTATAAACATCTTAAGCAACAATGTTTTTGCACTTTTTTATTTTGAAGGCGTAGTGACCGGGGGATCCGGTTGTGCTCCCTGTTTTGCTGCCGTCTTGATGCAGCAGTCCCCGCTGCAGATGATCAGCACCTCGGTCAGTTCCTGCCGCAGAACCGCAGCCTGTTTTAACTTCAGGACGCTTTATGGAAACTGAACAAACTGCAGCGCAGATCCAACATGGCTGCCGGTGTCCTTGAAGGATGGAGAGACCTCTGATTGTAATTTAAAACCTCACCTCGCTGAAACGTATACGCCATCTCTCTGAAAGAGAGTGTGGTTGTATAGAAGTCTATGAGAAAATGACTCTCCTTCTCTCTTGATGTATTACCTCAGTAAACATTGTAAACATGAGTTTATGGTCTCAATCTCTAGTTTAAAGTCTTCTTCAATACAGCATGATGTTCATCTAGTAAATTATGGTCCATTTAGAGTCAAGTTGCCATAAAGCATAATTCAAAAATGTTTTTCAATGAAAAGGTACTTGAACTTTACTTGAGTATTTCTACTTTCTGCAACTTTATACTTCTACTTCAGTACATTTCAGAGACAAATATTGTGCTTTTCACTATACTATATGACAGCTTTAGTCAGTGTTCAGATGTGATTAGCTTGTAAATACAACATATTAATACAAATTAAACCAGTGGTCTGTGGAGAGGTAAAAATTATATCATGTATTTTCACAATAAAATGGTAAGAAGGTAGCTAATTGTATATAAATCAGTTAAAACTAGCTCCACCTCCAACAGCCACAACAGTAATATGCTGCTTACACATTAACAATCTAATAATGTCAGATATTTATGTCCCTACAAGTTTTCACTACAACCTTTGCTCGTAGGGGAGTATTTTTTATTTTGTTGTACTTGTACTTTTACCTAAGGATCCCATCTGAGTACTTCTTCCACCACTGGTGACGCTGTCTGCTCTATAAATGTCAGCAGATCAGACACCTTGTGTAATTCAAATGGACTCTTATTCTGATGTATACATTGATCAAGTACAAGTACGACATATTTGTACTTCAGTACGTTACTTGAGTAAATGCACTTCCATCACTGTTGAGGTCCATCAGGTTCCAGGAGCTCTTGATAGGGATCTAGAAGTTCTTGATGGGTCTCAACGGCTCCTTGAGATTTTTTAAGTGTTTTTTTGAGGAGCTGTAAGGATCATTGGGGGGGGGAGGTTCAAGGATATTTTTCAAGGTTCTAGAGATCATTTATGATTTCAAGGGATTCTTCTGGGTGTCAGTATATTGCTGGTCCTTTAAGTCCAAGAGTTTTCCAGGAGGTTCTGATTGTCGCTGACGGTTCCAGTTGAGTTTTTAGGGTCCCGTAGGGTTCTTGAGGGATTTTCAGGAATCTTAAAATGGGTTCATTGGGTTTGTAATGAGCATCCTTGAAGCTCATAGTCCTCATAGCCCTTCATGTTCTTCAAAAGTTTTTTGTTGGGGTTCCAACTGCCTTTGAGGGGTTTCCAGTAGAGATGAACCGATACTGATGTCGGTCGGATACTGAATAAGGAGTCCAGGGATACGAGAGGTGCTCCAGTGTTTCCAGAATCAAAGGGTCCTTGAGAAGTTTTGGTTTTTGAGGATGTTCCTGTGTTTGTGTGGCCTTAAGTGGGTTCTATGAGTCCTTAAGCGGTCTCTCAAGGCTTTCCAGGGTCCTTATGGGACTACTAGTGGTTCTTCAGGTTGATCCAGGGGTACCTGAGGGGCCCCCGGTTCTTGAAGGGGTTCAAAAGATGAAAGGAATCCTGGGGTTGATAACAGGCACTGTTAGAGAACTAAAATTTGAGAGGGTTATATTTTATTTATTTATTTGATTCCAAACATCAACAGACTAGTCACTAGATCACAGTCTCGAAGCGGTGTCTGTGATTCTGCAGTTCCTCTACCGGCCACGAGGTGTCGCCAAAGCGCAGCCTCCTGAGTCTCAGTTCAGAAAAGGAGCCTTTTCAGGAAATCCTCTGCCGTACATAGAGTGGGTGGGCGCGGGGCGACCAGCGCGGTGCATCGTGGGAGAATGTGTTCCTTTTTGCCGACTCAGCGAGCTCGTAAAGCCTGTTTGGTATCATAAAAATGACTACAAGTCCCGTCGTACGTGTGGACCGAGCCGTTTAACCGCCTGACTTTACAATACACGGATAGAGGTGACCCTTCTAGTCCGACTCCACCGCAGACCTAAAACATCTCCTCCAGTCAGCTGAAATGGTAAGTTAATATGTTAATACTACACCTCTATCAAAGCATTGAATAACGTTGAATAACACGTGTGGTTAATGATGCAATGAATGGCTGTCATTGAGGAGAGTTGCGGAAGCGTCAAAATGTAATAATCTCACATGATGCACAACGTTATTTACTGGTTTCAATGGAGGATTTGAATTCATTCATAAACACCCAAGGACACAGTTGTGTCACGCGCAGGTTGTCGCGCAGCTTGCATCGCGCAGATCGGAGATGTTTGAATTAAAACAACAAAAACCGAAGATTTTGAACGTTAGCGTTTGCAGACAAGCGTGCACGTTTAGTTCCCGCTGTTTTTAGTACTTGCTAGTCTGCTTTATATTCGTGCACCTGCCTCCATTTTTAATAAGCAGGCTGTAGCGTGGCGTGAAGTTACATCACCGGCCTGTTCCTTTATTCAGTCCGGGGAACCGATCATCACCAATCTCCTTTCACAAATCTCACATTTTAAAGATTCCTCGCTTGTTGTATAACTTGCGGCCTGTTAGAATATGACGCAGATAGATTTATGACGGCACTGGAGACAATCCTTCATTTCGGCTGGTAAAATAAAACCACTGCATCATTTATAGTACTTTAAATCGTACTGTTTTGCTCTACTTCATTCATTATTTCGCACAGTGAAGAGCGTGAGAAAGCTCATAAAACATGATTAAAGCTGTAGTTTGAGTCGTGCAAGCCGAATTAAAGAGTGACATCAACTGCTACAGATGAAGGCTAAATTTAGACTGAATGTGGAACCTGTTCTTGCCAGCGCACAGGCCGTTCTTTATATAAGTGGAGTTTGGTTCCGAGTCCTCATTCAGAGGGTTCCACAGGAGGAGGAGGAGCCACCGATAGAGGCCTCACTGTGAGGATCCATCCGTTGAATATAGATGTCAGACCCACAATGCATGTTGCTGCCTCGTTTCCTCCCTCTGTTGTTTATTTAGGTCAATGACAGTATGAACCAAACCCTAACAAACACCCCTCCCCCCCCCTACAGGCCAAACCAATCCGTGTTGTGGTGACCGGCGCTGCTGGTCAGATTGCCTACTCCCTGCTGTACAGCATCGCCAAGGGAGATGTGTTCGGGAAGGACCAGGTGAGACTGATTACGTAACCTCCCCCCCCCCTGCACAGACATCTGGGTGATGTGGTGGCTCTTACATAATGCTCTCATCATGAATAACGCATGTTTTAATGATGTGCCATCAGGCTATTGGAGCCCTTATCGGTCTGATAACCTCAAAACCACGTTGGCTGTGTTGTTCTTCTGCTTCTCTGAAGCCCAATAAGCCGACCGGCCCGTAGGAGGCACCGCGACGAGGATCGGACTCGGCTGTTCACGTGAAACTGAAACCAGTATTTTATCAGCAGCTACCGAGAATTAGTTTTTAGTCTCTCGGAGCGTTTGCACCGTCCTTGGGAATCCTGAGATGTTCTTTTTACGTTTCTCACGACTTCAGAAGAGCTGTTGAATGATGCTGCATGTTGTTTGTAAATGAGGTTTGGTGATAAATGCTCGTATCTTCTGAGCTGCATCTTTAACATCTATGAACATTCTGTAAGTGTTGAATGTGCTCCTAACGAGACGTGGTCACAAATCTGCTTGGATCTGATTTTCGGATAAAACCTTTTTGTTGTCTTTCAGCCAATCATCTTGGTCCTGCTGGACATCCCCCCCATGCTGCCCGTGCTGGACGGAGTCGTCATGGAGCTGCAGGACTGCGCCCTCCCGCTGCTGATGGGTGAGCCAACCGTGTGTGTTAGCACCACAACACCAGCCGTGCATTTTAAAGATAAAGTAACATGCACGAAGTTTCTGCAACGCTGGTTCCCTCCACAAAGAGACAATGGGAAGTCTTCCTTTTGGGATTTATGATTATTGCAGAAAATAAATTCTGTTGCAAACAAAACATTTATGACGCATTTAGTTCAGTAAGATAATCCTCAAATGCAATCACTTTTATGATTTTTGAAGCTTGGATTCAATCACCAAAGTAAAAAGCTAACAAGGCTTTAAATTAACTAAGTCACGTCACATGAGAGCGAGTTTAAACACAACAAGGCTGCAACGGAGGACCAGTGTTCTAGTTTAATCATCTCATTTAGCCACTTGTTAGCAAAGCTAGGAGGAGTGTCTAAAATGAGGCCTCTGGTTGGCTGGTTGTTGAGGCACCACAGTAGCCAATCAGATGAGTGGAGGAGGAGAAGTGACCCCTGACTGAAGTCCAGTCTGATAGCAGCAGGTTATAACAAACAGACACAGAAAGCGTCTTGTCGTCGGGATCAGACGAGGCGGCAGAAGTTTATCTGAGAGGAATGAGCCGAGGTTGTGATCCGTGAACACATGAAGGGAAGTTGTGCAATGAGAAAATCAGAGAGTCGGAGTGAGAAGATGGGATGCAGGTCGGAAGTGTCGCAGTGCATGAAAACGTACAGAGGATAAATAAAAGTACTCATCAGTCCCACATAATGAATGTTAGTCTCTGTTATCCGCTGAACAGATAAGATATCCTTCAGTTCAACAGGTTGTGTATGAATGTTAATAAATAACAATTGTGAACAAGAAATAATCCTGAAATTTTGAATATTCGTTCAGTTGAAGAGTTAATTTCCTAAATCTGAAATTCAACAGAAGCTATGACAGAAAATAAATTCATAATTCCGCATTGAAGTCGAGAATTATTGATGAAAACTTTATCAAATCTCTTTATGTCGTGAAGCAGACTTCACGACATAAAGAGATTTACAGTTACAACCCCCCC